TGAGGACAATAATAAAAAAATTGCAATATATTTAATTAACACTCAAACGCTATTAATTGACAAGTCCTAAGTCGTACATCACAAACAATGTAGCTTACATATACTGCATGCGAGTGAGATTTCCAAGAAATGCAGGCAGTGGACCTGTCAAATAATTTTCGCGTAAATCTCTGCAAATTAAGGAAAACCCCAGTATCATCACCATCTAAGAAATAGAAATGTGAACAACCAAATGAAAAATTAGTAAAACAAATAATAGAAAAAAATTAACCATACAGATTATCAAGCAATGTCAAATTCCAGAGCTCATTCGGGATTGGACCTGCAACATCCAATGCATAAACTCTCCTGTACAAGTACAACGATAGGTTAGGAACCAAAAATCAATGCAACAATTACCACCTAAAGTGCATAACAAACGAATAAGATACATCATATTATTGTTGAACACAACCAAGGATTAAAAACACTGTATTTTTTTAACAAAGACTAATTTCGAATCGGTAAAAGAGGGACAATTATTGTTTGGTAGAGATTTTGTTAATTGATTTTTTGACGGTTATAGATAAAGTGGGTCCTACCCGTGAGAGAAGAATTCAAAAATGACGACTGGAATAGTAAAATAAAGGTAAAAAAATTGATTTTAATTGGGTTTTATGGTGTACCAAACATGTTAACTCACAGCTCAGTAATGCGGCAAGTGGTGCCATTGTTGTAAGAGCAATCGCATTTGATACCCAGATTGATACTATCAAATGGTGTTGTATCGATTGCAACACCGCTGCATAATTCGCCGCTAATGTTCCATCGTTGATTTGTTCCAGAAATTCCCCATCGCTGAAACATAGCATTCACAGCTCTTGCTGCAAAATCAAAGATCATGTTATTGAGTAGTATGGCATTGTGCATCATTCATACATGAATAAGTTCATAAAAAATTTCAAACTTTAACACAAAATTTAAACATTTCATCAATGAAGTTTCATCGGTCAGTCATTGAGCCCAAGGGAGCATTTCTGTAAGTTTTAGTTACAATTTGCTTATTTATAAAAACTTTCTTTGTCAATCAACATGGTTAGCCCTTGTTTCATCCTATTTTTCCAAAAATACATTTTTTTCCTTTTTTTCTTTTCCATTGCTCATTTTTCAATAAAATAATATTATACGTACATCTCAAACTTTTTCTTATTTTTAACCACATTTTCTACGTCAATATACTATTCCAAAATACATTTTACACCCCAAAGAATGGGGTTCAAACAACTCTCAAATTTTTTAAGAAAAGCAGCATGTGATAAAGACTATAAAATCTTTATTCAATATTGAGTGAATTAATTAGAATGACAAAATTATTAATGTGGTACATTTTAACTTACCTCAAATGTTAAAAAAATTGAGACAAAAATAAATTGAGCCATGAGAGAGAAAAAGAATAGCTTTAAAAAAAGTCAATAATTCTATTACTAGATGATAGTGGACTTCTTGATTCATTGTTCAACGAATAGGTAACAATTCATTACTCTTTACATGTTGGCACGCTCGACGTCTGGCCAAGATTTTGATTGGAATTGGATTGAACCAATAACAAATTTAATGAAATTGGATCAATTGACCTACGCATTCCACAACCATGGAGATTGAACCGGACTAGTAGCAGCAGCCAAATAAAGGCAAGCCAATCTAGGGTTTAAAAATAAAAAATAAAAAAATGGGCTGGCCAAACACAATCAAACTAACTGGGCATTTTAACACTGTAAAAAGCTACAGTAGAAAATGTACAAAAACATTTAATCAATTATTTAATATAATTTACTCTTAATAAAAGCTATAGTAGAAAATTGGGCTGGCCTAACACAATCGAACTAACTGGGCATTTTAACACTGTAAAAAGCTATAGTAGAAAATGTACAAAAACATTTAATCAATTATTTAATAAAATTGAAATATATATTAACTTTATTCTTAATGGTAATTATCCATTTTAATCAATTATTTAATATAATTTACTCTGCTTTATTTAAACTTCAATTATAAGCTATCAATTCTTCTCTCACCATTTCAAACACTATCCAAACACCACAAAATCTAAATATTTTCGCGATGAAAAAAATTTGAGATATAAATATTATAATGTGTAAAGATTATGAACCATTTATGAAATTAAAACATAGTCTAGTTATTAAAAAATATGTTGTGAATATAGTTAGCATTTTTTTGAATGGGCAAATAATATAAATCGTGAAAAAGGACTATTTATGCACATAATCGTAAGTTGAAAACGTCCATGCCAAGAAAAAAAAATGTTAGAACCGAAATCACACAAAAATAAATAACTTAGGAACTATTTGCATCAATTTCCCAATATAATAAGAATACAACCTGTAAAATAAAAAATAAATCAATAAAAAGAAAATGATAAGTTGATGATGACAGAGGAAACTGTTAATTAACAATTGTTTAGATTAGTTAAGTCTGCATCACTCTACGATATTTTAATCTTTGACCAAGTTTATAGGCGTGGACCTACACAGATATTATTATAAAAATATTAAAATAATGAGAAATATCAAACTTATAGGAGTATTCCACCAGGAATTTGGAATTTTTCGAAGACTTTAATGAAACGTGGGGAATCCGAATTGAGAGTTGATAGTGATGATATTGAATATAGAAATCATTTTACCAATGTAATTGTTGGTGTTTGATCTGAAGGCTCAAATCGAATCATTGTGAGTTTCACTTCAAAGCAATCAAAAGGGCTTATTTGTCAGGAAATTCATAACAAGACAGTGTAGAAGGCCTACTTATACATCGTAACAGGTGGATTAATAGGAAACGTCATATCAAAAGCAAAGCGCTGTCCGCCATGACGTAAGCAGGGGCGGGTTTAGGGGTACCCCAACTCATTTAAATTTTTTAAGTAAAAAAATAATAATAAACTATGTGTAATTAAAAAAAAAAAATTTTTTATCCGATTTTGGATCAGCCCATGGAACTAAGTACCGTTCATCGCCACCAATCAATAAAGAGTAGTGATGGCTTATGTTGTAACCAAAAAGCTGGTTGTACAGAAAAAAATTTACGAAAGCTTTACAGATGTGTCACAAGATGGTGAATTAAAATATTACAAAAAATAATCCACCTACGCTGCCATATGTGTATTTTGTAATGGTTCTGTACAAAAAATTTCTGTACAAGAAGCTTGGCTGTGCGTTGTAAACTAAGACTTATGCAACATGATGATTCATTGCCGTCGAAACTCTCGTACTAGTAAAATCTCTCCGAACGGGGTGGTAGAACACTAGAACTCATCACGAAGTTGGATACTATAGCTCGACAAGAATATGTGTAAGCTCTAATTTGGTGGCAAGGCTCAAACGAGATGAGCCGAACTGATAAAATTCTTAGTAGTACGTTACTAAGAAAATTTCCAACAATAATACAAGCATTTCTTTACAAAAGTTCCAGCACACGATGTTGTGATTCTATCAAAATTTCTATAAAGTGATGCTAAATTATTTTTAGTCAACAAATCTTAACAAATAAAACATGTAATTGTTTCCCATTAAATTGCTGGTTAAAATCAAACAACATCTCAATCTTATGAAAAAGCTAGTTTCTTTCAGTTCGTAATAGTAGTTAAAAATCACTTATGGTCAAGCAAGTTCAAGTTGATTGTTCTTTTTTATTTTCTGGGACAAATTATGAAAAAACTATAATCCCATACACACGTGTTTTGTTATGAGATTTTGTGTCAAAAATCATTCATTTTTAGAATAATTTCCTTGATTAAAATGTTTACAAGTATACAATTATAAAACATCAAGGTCAAATGAAGAAATTAAGAGCAACATCAAAAAATAAAAATAAATAAATAATCTTGTAAAAAGATCAAGTTCTGAAACATTTAAACAAAATATTCGAAAAAAGAGCTGAAATTTGCCCTAAAATAGTGAAAGAGATGGAGAGATACACCTTCAGAAGGATCAGTCGTGGCATTTCTGTTATCTTGAGCTCGAGCAATCTCCAGCGGGAGGAGGAAACAAATTAAAACAAAGTATAGGCCGAGGAGAGGCGGCGCGTGAGAACCCAGCTGGTGGCGTAGCTTCTTCATTGGCGTCTTCGTTGACGACTTCTTCTAGATTACACTACAAATATCAAAATTTATGGAGAGAAGTTAATGTCAGTGGAAAAAGATACCACACACTTTTCATGGAATTTCCACCCAAATATGCTGTTTGATTGCTAAAAATTTTCATGAAATTTGTTTTACAACTACCCATCACATGATCCCATTTCTCATGTTTTCAAGGAATTTAAGGTCTGTCTCATTGTAAAAATGAAATTGAATTGAATTAAAAACGAATTTCAGGAAATTATATTGTCTAAAAATTATTTTCCTGAAAATTATAAATTATTGTGTTTGATTGATATAATTTTTCACGTAAAAAATGTTGAAATAAAAGTATTTTTTGATATTCGTTTGACTCTCTTTGACATGAAAATTGTCAATTAATATATATATATGCTACAATAACCGGGAAAACCAAGAAAATTTCAAATTTCAAAAAAAGAAAGAACTTGAATTCTATGAAAAAATACACCCATCAAATACCTTAAAAGTTGGAAAATGTTGTTGAAATTCTATTTTCCATGGAAAATTTTAGTGTATCAAACACACCCTAATTTCCTTGGGTTTTGGTGGGAATTAGATTTTCCAACTTTTTTTTTTTTTTGGCAATGGCAACAAATTTTATTCATAATTGTAACAAATTATATCTCTTTAATTGACAATTTTTATGAAAAAAGCCAGACGAATATCGAAAGATCCAAAATTTCAACATTTTTAGGTGAAGAATTATACCAATCAAACACATTTAATTGACAATTCCCTCTAGAACAAGTTCTAGGTAATTCAATTCCTTAAAATTCGTTTTCTTTCCACTCAAATTTCATTCTTACAATCAAACGGATCCTTAGAGAATAATACACTCTTTAATAATTTATAATTTACAATTTATCCTTTAATTAATATACTTAGAATATATAAGTGTAAATATATTAACATCACAATTTTTGTTCACTACACTACATTTTTATTACAATGCATATCCCTAATTCGTTCTTATTTTACACTTATGTTCTCAACTTCTTTTTATATATTTTTTTTATCATCAACATTCTATGTATTTTCACATCTTGTCTATAGAAATGATTTTCATCCAAAATATTTGGTATGGGAGCCAAAAGTATATATTTCTCTCTTGCTTTTTAAATAATCGAAATAAATGACAAATATAAAAGCTAAATAAAATATTTGTCCATCTTTTCAATGCACGTTAGTAGGATATTTTGATGAAAATCGTGATTAAAGACAAAATATATTAATTAATTGAAGGTTAAGAATAACAAGTCGACGCGAAAAAAGTTAAGGACGTAAAAGTAAAAATGAGCAAATATTGAAAACCTTCATTGTAAAAAAATATGTGCTGTAGTTATATAAAAAAAAATGTTGTGGGGGATATAATTACCCAATATATAGTGGTAGGTCAAACGATTTTAATTACTTAATTAATCTGTGGTTAGTGGTTACTGCCTACTTCGGGAATAAAAGAATCTCGCGTTACAAAGGCCACGTCAACAATCATTGAGATATAATTTTCCTAAAAATCAGATTTTTAGTACATTTTGAATCAGATTCCCAATTTTTTTTTTCTTTCCTTCTTTTTGTGTGTATGTGTGAGCTTTAATTTTTTATTTTTTATTTTTTTTTATTTTTTGACATGTCGGGCTTGATTAAGTTTTAGGATAATTCATGCAATAATATTTAGTTCTTTATTATATCATTAAAAATAGTTTTAATGCATTAGTATTATTATTTTTCATTAAATCATCTAAGATGAATTATCTTTATTTAATCTTATTGAGTGAGTGGTAAGGGAATTTGTATGTAATCACGTGATATCCCAATCGATGAAATGATTCATATTATTTTCAACGTTACACAAAATGAACACAAAGTTTTGTTGATTTTAACCACTCATTTTTCAAAAAAATATTATTTCACACATTCTCATTACCACAAAATAGGAGCCAAACGGGGTTAAATAACAACTTTACGTTAAGGGTAAATTTTACATCGACTTCTTCTTCTCTTTTTTTCTTGAAAAGTGCGCACGTATTTCCTTAAGAAAAACACTTCTTGCCCATTTTTCAGCCCCTCCTCTACTCCCCCGCACCCCCGAACCCCTGTCCCGTAGCCCTGGCTTTAATCCTGGGCGTGCACAACTGTTTCCTTAATTACTTTAGGAATGTGAATCTCTATATTTGTCCTTAAAAAATAGCATAATTTTGACCTCCCGTTTGGACTTCATTATTTTTCATTAAATTATAATTCGTTTTTTCTCTTTTCTTATCAATTACACATTTTTCAATAAAATAATATTATACATAGTACATGTTTGGCACCCTTTAAAATTTTAAATTATTTGTTATAGTATATTTTCCACCGCACGTTCACACGTAAAATATTATACACACAAATCAATAAAGTTTTTTTTAACCACACATTCTAAAAAGAAATACTATTCACAACTCTTTAATCATGGGTGGACGCAGAAATTTTTAGTTATGGAGTACAATCAAATTTTGTATAAATCGAATACTTCGTTCTTAATTTTTAAATGATTTATATTTGATCCAATAAAATGCAGATTTACATTTAAAAAAATTTCTCCATTAATATTTTACTCATCATTTTCATCCATTTGATTTCAAAGTCATTTTATTAATATTTTGCTCATTACAAGAAAATGCATATTTACGTTTAAAAATTTTATATTTTATTTAATGCAAATAATGAATTAAAGTGATCGAAAGGAAAAATATATAACTAATATTCAATCAAATAAATACAATTTGTTAAATATAAACTAAATTGAATATAATCAGTTCAGACACATTTTATGTACACAAATAAGATATGAGAGAATGCAAATTTAAGTTATAATTAATTGAAAATTGATTGTAAAGTAAAAATTTGTAGTAGACGTAATAATTTGTAGAAAATTTATGGACAAATTTAAAAAAAATTAAAAGGGTTAAGGTTTTGGTAAAATGTGAGAGAGATAGAGTAAGAGAAAAAATAAAAATTTCAAATTTATCGTGATTTTACCTCTATTTGGTGGTGGTTAAAATCAAATTTTTAGTCACGTGACCCCCAAGACCCCTCGAGTCTGCCAGTGTCTTTAATTTTTTAAACACTGAGTGACAAACAAGGACTTAAATTTAATTTTTTTTAATTACATGTTCTTCAAGAAATTATTATTCGTCTTGTTATAAAGCCCCCGTTTGATCCTCATTAATTTTCATTACATTACATTTTATTTTTCCTTCTCTTATTTTCAACCACACAATTTTTCATAAAATAATATTACACGTAAATCGAAAACTTTTCCTCCTTTTTCAACTACTCATTTTTCAAAAAAATACTATTCCACGCATTTTTATTTCTAAAAAATGGAAGCCAAACGGGAGCAAAGTGTATTAATGGAGGCAATGTGTTGTGTTTTCACATCATTGCTTCTGATGTCAAGAATTTGAAATATAACAAATGAAGGTCGGAAGTCGGTGATTTGAAACCCATTAAGTGCTTGTTTGGTAGGGATTTTGATAATTAATTTTTTGTTCGTTAAAGATAAAGAGAGTCCTACTTGTGAGAGAATAATTCAAAAATAACAGTTGAAATAGTGAAATAAAACTCAAAAAATTGATTTTAATTGAATTAAAATTTCTACCAAACAAATTCTAATAATGTTTATATGACTATTCACTACAATAATACACAAGACAAAAAAGAAGTTTGCTATATGTACATAATATTTTTTTGTACATAATGTGGGGCTTCCACCATGTGAGTGGAAACACCCATTATGTACAAAATGAGGCCCACATTATGTACAAAATATTATGTTCAAAAGTTTGATCCGACATAAAATATTAATGCTCTCTGTCAATCCCAAATAAGTGATGATGTTGATATTGACGAGGTGCGTTAAGTGGTGCCATCAAATTGAGAGAGGCTGCACGCACCGTGAAGGGTTCGCAGTATTCCTTCAAATCACATGGGATGGACCCCATGTTATTAAATATTGTCAAAAAAACCAATTCGCCTCCTATTGTTCATTGTAATGGACCCCATGTTATTAAAATATTCAAAAAAATTCCATCCACCGTCCACCCTCTATTCAAAAAAAATAAAAAATAAAAAATAAAAAATAAAAATCCATCAAAAAAATTGATTTTCATAATCACTACCGAACAGACCCTAAATGTCCTCAATGTTCAATTCAAATTTTAAACTTTTTTTTCTTCTCAAAACTCGAGGTTTATAAATAGGAATCCTAGTAAATCAATTTTTATCACATTTCAAAATTCTCTACAATCTCACTACCATACCACTATCTTCCCTTCAATAGTACGAGTTTGCAATAATTAAACATTTGTTCCTTTATTTTCAAATATTTCTTCAATTCTAGTTTTCTTTGTATAAATTATTTCTATTAGTTGCGGTCCTAATTTTCTACAAATTTCGTTATAGATTACACTGGATTAACAAACCTCAACAAGGATGTTAACCAATTCTTTGGTAGTTCTAAATACTCTCATCTATGATTTTTATCAAAATTGAGATTTTCTAAATTCAAAAAATGACCGTACTATCGATACAACAATCATTGACCTTGATGAAAATTTGGAAGAAATGGTCTCTACAAAGTGAAGAAAGAAGGCAAAAGATCGTGAGCCTACTTATGGGCATTGAAAATATTTCATGAAAAAGGAGCATGGTTGAGAATAATGAGCATATTAAGAAAGTATATTATAATTAACGTGAAAGTGACTTCTTTCAAAAATCAAAATTTGGCATTGCCCCATACAACATGAATTATGATTAGTGGTTTGTATTAGGATTGCTAACAGTAGGCAAGCTCAATTTCAATTTGGTTTAAGCAAAAATGGACATTTTGGGTAAAATATTTGCAAACTAGGAATGGTAACGATTGTTAATAGGAACTGAGTTAATGCTATCTATAGTAGAAAGCTCGTGTTATTGAAAGGACATGTCCATGTTATTTCTTCTACATGAGGTTATGGAATATGGATGCTCGTATTAACTTATGGGGTTGTAAATGTATAATTGAAAATATTTATTCGCGTTTAATGTTTGATACACCATTATACATTGTGATGTAAATAATATTGTGTAATTTATATTCTCAATATGTTGTAAACAAGGTAAAAAATA